AGTGTTAGAAAATTATCTCACCCCCACTGGGATAGACTAATCTCTAACACTCTATGGCAGTGCTCGAATGCAATTCAAGTCCATCACAACAACCATACAAGAGATGTAATTCCAACCAAATTCTCAAATCATAAATAAATCATAAATTCCCAAATTTTCACAATTTGTAATCCAAGAGAACAATTTAAGAGAATAAGCAAGAGGTCATCACAACCTCATTTTATTACTCACTCAAAGCACTAGAGTTTCGAAAACAAAAATAAGGGAATAATCAAGAGGGAAAACCCATCTTTTATGGAAAACTAGGGTTTTATGACAAGGAAGGAAATTTCATAGTTATATAACCATAGCTTTGTTTAAAACATAGTAATGATTGCAAAAATCTCAAGGAATCATGATTTCATAGCATATACATATGATTAAGAGTCAAAAAATACATATATACAAACCCTAGCCTCAATGGACAAGAATGGAAGAAAACCCCTACCTTGGTGTTCTTGAAGAAACTAGGGTTTTGATCTTCTTGAAGTGGAAATCTCCTTTGATCTTATGTTTTTCTCTTCCTTTCTTTCTCTCTAAGGTTTTCTAGGGTTAGAAGTGTTGAAATGGGGCTACAGGAGTAGTCCTTATGTATTTATAGTGGAAGGAAGGTCGGTTGTTTCGCGACTTAAAAATTCAGATTTTTCGTCGACCTTCCGGAAGATTTTTCATTGACCTTCCGAAATGTTGGCCTTCTGGACCAACATTTACATTAAGCTTCCTGAAGGTTTTCATCGACATTCCGGAAGGTTTGCCCACTGGACAAATTTTTCATTATTCTTCCAGAAGAACATTTCTTTAACCTTCTAGAAGGTTTTCATTGACCTTCCAGAAGGTTTGTCTTCTGGACAAATATTTTCATTAACCTTTCGGAAGGTTTTCACGACCTTCTGAAAGGTTTTGCCTGTTTTTCTGTAAATCCTCCCCACTTCATTTCCAATCCATTCCAAACTCTTCCAATCTCAACCCAAACTTATACAACATACTTTTGTACATCAATCCTAGTTGGTACAAGTTCTTTTACAACGATTTCATATATTTACATGCTAAAATCACGTTTTCACTACTATTCACTAGAATTTTACCATATTCACATTTTTAAAGAAATAGTTCCTTACTTCATATACTTATACACATATATAAGGACAAAAGTGTGGGGTTTACAACACTGGTATGCCAGGTTCTCTTAGCTGTGTAAATAGTTCGTTTGATTCTTTAGCACAAAAAAATCCACTCTCGTCGTACTCCTGCATAATACTCTTTTAGATAAAAAAATCTTTCATTCTTGTAATCATCGATCTACTCTTGTAACAACCAAACCCATTCACATCTGCGATTGTTAAATCTCGTAGAGAAATTTGATGTAGACATAATGTTATGTTTTCATATCAACGGCAAAATGGTGTTTAAATAGTAGTGTCCCAAGCCTACTGTGTTAGAGAGATCATATCAGTCAATAGTGAAACAGTGTAGTGATCAAAGGTCATATATGGCATAGTTATTCATCAGACTAGTGTAAGGTCATTTCAGTCTTTTCCCTCATCAAATGTGTGTTGTCACTTCAACACATGGTATACAAAAACTTATTCAGGGTTAAGTTAGTTCAGCACAAGGTATGTTGAAACTCATTCAGGATTTTGTCACTTCACCACATGGTCTGCTGAAATCCATTCAGGGTGTAGTCTTGTCAACACATGACATTAATTAGTCATGAGTAGTCACTTTTTCTTCTTCAGCATTATGAAAAAGCAGTTAGTTGTCACTTCAAGACAGTGTTTGTATTGATATGGCCAGTTGTTGGGAGATTTGTGTATTCACTATATATTCACCGTCTTTAAGCAAGTAAGTGAAGAAAACTTATTTCCAACATGAATTATAGTGTTAGAACTTTATATGAAAATATGGGTTATCATTGGGCCTTAGAGGATGAGTTCTTCTATCCAATGAATTCTCATTTACGTTATTCTAGCAGGGTCATAAGAACCATGAGGACCGAATTTCAACATCGTTTGACAGAGAGAAAATTTTATTGGATATATGCAAACTTGCAATTTACAAAAGTTTTGACAAATTGTCATTCATATGCCAATTGAGACACCTCAACAACTGGAGCGAGCATTGTATCATTTTCGAGTTGAGAACAATCACATGACAATCCGTCTTAATCGTTACAACCTCCGTTATATCGCACGAGAACGTGCTGAAGAATGGTTAATGGAAGAAGCACGTATAAATTTCCTTCTAAGTGGAGAAGTTGGATGTATTTCTAATGTTCAGATGTCCAACAAAGATGTTAACCCATGACACATGTTGTGTGGAGAATTGTGATATTAGTGTTGTGTGGTGAACTGTGATGTTAGTGTTGTGTGATAAACTGTCTAGTCGATATTGTTTGGACTAGTGTTAAGGTAGTGTTGTGTTGTGTGGACAAGTGTTATGGTAGTGGTGTGGAAACAAGTCTTATGTTAGTGTTTGTGGGTAGAAACATTATTTTACTATTGTGTGAAGAAGTTGTATGTTAGTGTTGTTGTCTTCAGATCATGTTATTGTTGTGTTTAGATTTACATGTGAAATGTAATGTTGAAGTGACTTAAATTTGTTGTATACAATATTGATTATGTATGTGGCAACTTGATTGAAGAATACTATAACAAAACATGATTGCGTAAGTGACAATCTATGTACAATGTAGAACAAAAAAAGCCAACAAATATAGCAACATCATGTCCCACATGCAGATGGTCGCCTACATCACTTCGGCTATTTCCAAATCTCCTGCTCAACATCCTGTGGTACAACCTGGAATATCATCTAACCACTTCCATGCCAATGGCTCTATATTTTTAATTTCTTCCATTATCAAATTAAACTTGCGAATCTGATGTGCTGCCCCAGCCTTCCACACTTGATCTTTCAAATACGTGTTCTTGTAATGTGTGTTGAAATTTCTTTGTACATGCCTAAGACAGAAACGATGATAGGCGTATGGCTCATTCCACCCAGAATTAGGTTTCTTAACCGCTGAGATTATACCTTTATGTCGATTTGAGATTAAGCATATATCAGCTCTATTCGGCACAATAGAGTGACGTAGATGATATAGGAACCAACACCAACTTTCACTAGTCTCCTTATGAACAAAGGCAAATGCTAGAGGAAAAATCTTCTTCTGAGCATCAATCATAGTAGCAATAAGAAGCTTATGCTTATACTTGCCATTTACAAATGTGTCATTGATGCTTATTACAGGTCGACAATGAACAAACTCATCAATAGAAGCTTTGAATGCCCAAAACACCTTTCCAAAATTGTCGAATGTCGGAGCATGAATCTCATATTGCCACTTTACAATCGTCCCAGGGTTGTATTTCACAAGAGCACCCATAAACTTTGGCAAGATGTTGTAAGAACAATCTCAGTCACCGAAAACCTTAGCTATAGCTATATTCTTCACATTCCATGCCTTCTTGTACATTATCAAATATTGATACTCTTTTTTCACCATTTCAATGATGACAGACATTGTTACATCAGGTGTACCCTGAACCATACCCTTAATCCATTGAGAAATAAAACTTGCATTAAGCTGACAGTGGTCATGGTTCAACCATGAGTAGAAACAAGTGTGAGGTGCCTGATATTTTGTAATCTCAAACATTTCATGCTTCACCTTCAAAACCGCCTATAGCCTCCATTTTCATCTACATTGTAAATGCATCTTTCACCTCAAAACCCAACGTGTTTTGTTTGTATCAACAACAACATATTGTTGGTGCATCTTAATTGAATACAATTTAACTGCCATCTCCAGCTCTTTTTTACTCTTGAACACCATACCCTTTGCCAGTTTTGGTCTTGTAGGATCTCATGTTTTAATTTCATGCAAAATACACAAGCTGTCAACTTCATTCTGGGTTCCCAATTCAACGTTTGAGAAAAATGTTGACTTCGGCTCATGCATAGGAACCTCACCATCAACCTCAACAAAATTACTTTCAACATCGTAATTATTATCATCAGAGTCATCACTCAATAAATCTTCTGCCAATTCTTCTTGTTCGTAGTAATCATTACGGTCATTAGCACACATTCCTTCATATGTATTATTATCAATCTGATGCACTACAAGTGCTTGGACAGGGTCCAATAGCGCTAGTGTCGAGGTAACTGCAATCATTTCCATCCCCTCGTTACCCAGTGTAGCACTGTAGTTTTGCTGGGATGAGCATTCAGAAAAAGTACTAGTCCCTGTTTCAGACTGTGCATATGTATATCGATTGTATTCTTCCATACACTGCAATCTTAAAGGGGTATAATAATTACCCACCATGGTAGAAGGGTCAAGCACTAGGATATATGGTTGTTGACTGAGCATGGAAGAGTATGAATCACCCTCAAGCCAACCTTCATTACTTCCACCAATGTCATCTGCCCTAACTTTCTCACTCATATACAAATTCACTTTGTTAACACCTTGATTGTCAAATACAACATCCACCATTGCCTCCACACCATCGTTGTCAACAACTTCTACTGGAATATATGTAAAAATGTTAGTTCCCAATGCAGTAGGAAACCTACAGATAAGTTTGAGGTTGTATTTATTTCTATCTATCCCTGTCACATCATGTAACCTATCCACCAAAGCTGAGTAAGTTGTGTCATGAGCAACCTTTATCACACGTTTATAACCATTATTATATCGTAAAATATCATGGTTATTGAATATGGTACCACCCCAATAAACCATTATAGAAGCACGTCTTTCAACCATTCGTAACAATTCTACAATAAAGACATCAAAAGTTAGTGTGTATACACAACCAAAACATAAAAATCTTACTTGTTCATGCTTACATCGAAACTTTTACTTGTTCATGCTTTCAAATGTAAATAAACTAGGTAGCCCATCCTAATATAAGGATGGCGAAGCATGGTCCACCTCCACCCTTAATAAGGTGATGGCCAGAATAAGTCGAACCTTTTCTCCTGCCCATCTAGGTTGTGGCTTTTATTTGCAGGTGATTAGGAGTGCCTTTGTTACAAGAAGTTCTATCATTGCTCTATGACCAACTACTAAGTGTTTACTGAATCAAGTCATCATATCAAATCATTAAAAAGTTGACCCTATAATGTCAAACTTTATTCCAAAATTTTCAACTTATGAATTTCATGGGTTTGCCACTACGTTGAGCAATGACAATTAGTAAAAGAGATCAAAATCTATAAGAGAGTGAATTCATTGTCACACTAGTGTATATCTCTAAAGAACTACAAAGGGTAGGAGGTTGTAAATTATGATTATGTTGTTTCTGTTGTCGATCCACTCAATGGATCCAAATATATGAAGGTTTCATTCCTTTAAAATAGGCATAGTTACACATTGGAAGAATAACAAAAATACAATGCACAAATGAAGCCTTATGTCACAATGGCAAGGCCCATATACTTCATCTTTTATTAATCTTTCAGTGTTGGAAACGTTTGGTGAGTCATAGTTTCCAGGTTTCCCCTCATTTGATCATTAAGTATAAATGCACTCAGCGCCATAAAAAAAAACACACTTTCATTAAGTATAAATGCACTCGCTTTCATTTTGGGCCAACATATAACTACCCACCATAACAAAAGGTATGTCTCTGATCTCCCTCTCTACGAACAAAGCCTAATAACACCTAAAAATAGTGATAATATCATGCATATGTCATTTGTCTTCACCATTTGAAAGTGCCACACCATTAAACACAACTAAACTTCCTATGTAATTGTTTATCAATATTTGAATAATGGCCATATTTGTTGCCCAGGTACCTAGACCTTCATCAAGTTTGATACACCATTACTATAAAACCAAAAAAAAATAATGCATTAAATTCTTCAATAATTTAACACATACAAACAACATGATGCATGAAGGGAAATGCCAATTATTATAAGTTGGCTACCCATAAAACAGGTTGATTGCAGTGTTGTAAACATGCTTATTTGTGCATTTATTTTCCTTTTTGGTTGGGATTTCAGGAAGTGGATGATTTGATGATTTGTAGATTTTTGCGAGCCCATGATCTAGATATTGAAAAGGCTTCTGACCTATTTCTAAAGTATCTAAGGTGGAGGAGAGAATTTGTCCCAGCTAGATCCATATCTCCATCAGAAATTCCTAATGACCTCGCTCATCACAAGATGTATATGCAAGGAGTGGATAAGAAGGGGCGCCCCATAGTAGTTTGCTTTGGAAGCCAGCATTAAGCAGATGAGACTGGAGGAGTTCAAGCGTATGTGGTTACTCTGAAATTGTACATGAGTGATCTGAATTCTAATGCTATGTGTATATAACATTTGTGAATTAACCAAATACTTTTTTGTTCATTCTATTTTGGTTGGATACAATGATAATTGAATTGTCTTGGTACTTTCTTGTTTTGTTTGGTTCACACAAATGCGGCCACACAAATACCATACTAAGAACATATTTTCTTTACATATATATGTGGAAAATGATGTTATGCTGCGCTAAATTCTCTCCCCCTATTTTCATTGCAGGTTTTGTGAAGTAAAGAGGGTAACGTATAGAATTACTCTTACCAATGTATTTATGGGGTGAAGTAAAGCCTGTAACTCGTAGAATTACTCTTAACCAGTTACAAAACTTGATGAACCATAATAATGAAACTAATAAAAATAAAAATCTAACTTCTTAATCTGTTATTGAATTAGTGACAACTTTAAAAACTCTATTAAGTCATATCGTTTCAACTTTTCAGAAAAAAAACCCGTCTTCAAGTGTAATTAATTAATTTTTTGAAAAAAAACCAAGCACTATATAAATGTCCACCACCACATATTTAGAAACCACCCATCTTAAACAACAATAAACAAAACACCACAATCCCTTAACCTTGACACAATACAAGCAATGGCTTAACTTGATGCTATGCTACGCTTTTTCTCTCCCCCTGTTTTCATTGCAGGTTTTGTGACTTATACCCTTGACAAAATATGTGCAAGGTAATTCATTTTTGTTAGTGCATTTGATTGACTCATTTTTTTTCTAGAAACGAATATTCAAGGAAAATGGCTTTTTACTAAATCAACGCAAGTCGATAAAGTTGAATATGGTTGTGAGCAGGCAATCAATAACCCATAAATCTGCATCCTGGAATTTAAAACTGGCATTTTCCCTTCATTCTATTGGATTTATACTTCCTACACACTTCATCTACAATCAGGATTAATGCACTCAGCGCCAGCAGATGTAGGAGAAAAGTAGTAACTGATTACTCATCATACCTGTAAACCACCATATTCCTATCTTTATACAGCAATGTAATTATTTTTGAAATTCTAATATATGTGATGACGTAAGAATGAACCATATAGATTATAACAGTAGGAATAAATACTAGGGAGGTAAATTTATTGTGAAGTTAAGTTTTGAAGATGTTTAAACTTGGGATGGGTTGTTAGGTAAGTTTCTAACTATTTTTAGGTCAAAATAAGATTTTTATTGAACCCAGAAGGCCGAGGAACATTGGGAGAGGTAATATGGGGTGTATTAGAAGTTAGGAAGTATCCCGGAGTTTAAACACAGTTTAGAAAGATTTCGGATATGAAGGAATTTGATACTACCTTAGTATTATAGCCATAAATTTTTACTCATAACTCCAATGGATTGGATTTTTGGAAAGTAGAAACTAGATTTCAAGGGCTACAAAAGTGTATTTCACGAACATTTTCTGAATTGGCTTCTAAATAAGTCAAAATTGATCATGAAGTTGAGGGTATTCTGTCACCTGCATCTGGATAGGAATAAACAAGCGTTCGGACGCGCCAAGCCGGGGGCTTCACGTCCCAGACCTATTTTGGTTGCTTTCTCCAATTTTTCTTCCATTTTCATCAATGCCAACCACTAGAGAGGCTTAGAGAGGAAGAAAGAAGGGAAAAACAAGAGATTAAAGTGTTGATTCAAGTTTGGGAAGATCAAATCTTCTAGTTCTCAGACAAAAGCTAAGGAAGCAAGGTAGGGGTTTCTTCCTATTCTTGTTCATTGAGGCTAAGGTTTATATATATGTATTTTTTGACTCTAAATCCTATTTATATGTTAGAAAATCCTCAATTCTTGATATTATTACAAATATTATCATGTTTTAAACAAAACTATAGTTGGGTAGCCATGAAATCTCTTTTTCTTGTATTAAAACCCTAGTTTTCAAGAGAAGTGAATTTTTCTCTTGATTTTTCCTTTGTTCTGGATTTCAAAACTCTAGTGCTCGGTATTGAACAACAAAATGGTATTTTTGATGATCTCTTGCATATTTTCTTAAATTATTCTATTGGAATAATACATGTGAAATTTGAGAATTTTGGATTTGTTTGTGACTTGAAAAATTGGTTGGATATTGTATCTTTTGTGGATGTTTGGATGACCATAGGTGATCGTTGACTGGGTATCGTAGAGTGGGTAGATGTGTTTCTTACTCCGTGCGAGTTTGAATTTTTTCTACCACTCGTAGTGGAATTGGTGTCTTGCAAGGACTAAACCACTATTCGTTCACGTGGTATCGAGGCTGAGGGTTAGTATACTATTTCTGGGTTGGATTCGTCACTGCCAATACATTGGTATACACCCTTCCTAAAGTTGGATATCCTTGCGAGGATTGGGTGTGTGTGTGTGTGTGGGCCAGGATATTCTCGATGTGTTTATTCATGCGATGTCATACATCATACCTGAGATACATTGTAGGCTATTGTTTATTTTGCAGAATGGTTGGTTATAGTTTATTGTGAAAAGGAGTTTATGGTGAAATTGGTTTATTGTGAAATTGGTTATTGTGGAAATGGTATCTTGTTGGAATTGTTATTTTTAGGAATTGGTTTTACTGTTTCATTTAATTATTGCTATTGTATAAACTGGAGATCCATTGAAATGTAAAATGAAACTGAACGTTTTATATGCTTTTGAAACCTTGTTCGAGTTTGAGAGGATTTTCCTACAGAACTTAGTGCTTACCTCCTACAAACAACATTCTTTTCAGATTTTGGTTTAGAGGAGGAGCTCAGAGTTGACGAGCAGGTAGCTTGGAAAGCTCAACTTGATGGGCATGTGGACCCGGAAGGGGATGTCTAGAACTGTTCTTTTTATGTCCTAGGTTAGGAGGTTTATTTTGAGATAATGTTCATGTTAATATTTTTGTATTCTGCTGCAAGATAATAATTAATTTTTGGGATGTAATTACCGTAGTTGGGCATATTCTTTTGGATACAATGGTTCATGGCTTGGCATATTCTTTTTGGATGAAGTTCTAAATATTATGGATAATGAAATGGAATTTCCTTTAATTATAAACTTTATTAGTTGCTCTCATGATGTGAATGGTTTTAAATAGTTGTGCCGTCCAAAGGGAATTTTGGGGCGTTACAATACCTGTTGCTTGATGCGAGTCGAAAATGGTCACTCAGTGGAGGACTCGATGGAAATGCCAATGGAGCTTTGATCTGATGATGGAGCTCAGTGGACTGGAGTTGTGCTCAAACGTTGGTGCATCAGTGTTCAATCGTTGCTGTTCTAGGTTGGGGTTCTGGATCGATTTAGGGAAAAATCAATTTAGGGCAAAATTGATTTAGTTTGGAATGGAGAATGGAGATTGCTCAGTCGTTGACTCACTTAGTTTGGAATGGAGAATGCGTAGTCTAGAATGGAGAATGCTAACTGCTCATTCGCTGACTCGCTGGATGAACAATGGTCGGAGCTCGTCAAAGATAACCGTCGTTGAATGGTTGGAGCTCATTGGAGAAGAGGCTAGCTGAGAGTGATGGGTGGAGGAGTTCGCTCACAGTCGTTTGCGGAGGAGGAGAGCTGAGAGTGCAAATGTTTAAAAAATTTTAACCTTGGCTGTGATTTGGAAAATTTTAAGGGAACTGATATAACGTTCAAATCGTCATTGTAAACGACGTTTTTTACCCCTTTACTTTTTTTAACGCCCGTTAGCTGCCGTATAAAATTCATGTCTAACAACGTTATACTAAATGACGACTTTAAAAACATCATTAAGAATGACATTTTCAGGAAAAAAAATTCAACTTTAAATCGTCATTCCAAATGACATTTTAACATCTGAAAACGTCATTTGAAATAATGTTTAAAAAAAAAAACTAAGTTTGAAAAATAAGTTTAAAACTCACTAGGTTGGGGAATATTTATTTGAGAGGGGTTGGGTTTGGGGAAAACCTCAATTTATTAGGTATAGATCCCACATTTGACATTACTGGCACAAAGTAATTGTCTTCATCTATGCTATTAATTAATATTATTATTAAAAGGAGAGGAAGGGGCTTGGTGTCCACTAGTAAAATGTCTGTAATACTCTTTATTTCTTTTAGTAAAGTAGAAGAGTGAGATTGGTGTACATTACTAAAATTTCCATAATATACGCTTTATTTATTTTCAAATGACTAGTCTACCAATACCACCCTCATTTTTTCCACAAGTGATTGTATGTGCAAAGAACCCGATAAATCGACCACTGGGTAGCAACCTGAAGGTTGCTGGTACGAGACGCATTCATTGACAAAATCGTCCCGTGGGATGATTCAGAAAGAAGATATAAAACAGAATTTCAAATTCTTGTGAAATAATATAATACTTAGGAGTTCGAGATCGATTTACCAAGAATGATAGAACTTTAATCATAAACTAAAGTAAAATGTTGATTGAGAAAGTCGATTAATTTGCTTGTAGTAAAATAGTATAAGGTATTGATAATCCCCTTTTAACAAAGATGTGATATAAAATCTTGATCCAATTTACAATTCAAGTGACAATTAGCTAAGGAATAATCCTAGTAGGAAGATATAGTGGTGATTTGGTTGGAGCAAAACAGTTTTTTAAGTGTAAAAACTGAAGTTTTGGTTGATTTTGAGCCTAAATTTAAGTGGGACCCGTTCGTTATTTTGAATAAATTTTCATGAGTTCATATTCTACTTTGTGAGGAGAATAACGTGGTACATTCACTTCTTCAAATCGAGTAAGAAATGAATGAGAAATAAGTTCCAAAGTGACCCTCTTGAATTGTGAAAATAAAAGTAGTGCAATGTGGGATATAACACCAATCCCACATTAGTTGAGGAAGAAATTCAATATGGGCATATATAGGCCAAGTTTGCTCGATGGGATTGGGCCCCAAGGACTACCACAATTTTATGAGCGGAGCAAACACCTACATGCCTTCGGTTCAACCGCATACGCACGC